TACACACACACACACACACACACACACACACACACACACAGAGTTCAATATTATGCTATTGAATACATTCGTCATTCTGCACGGGTGAATCCACACCAAATCAGGTTAACCATAACAGGCAGGGTGGAGGCAGCCCGCTCCACAATCATCTAAATAATGGTGTCAAGGAGCGTGAGGGTAAAACGATAACAGTCGTCATCTGTCGCTTCTACAAGTCAGTCTCGCGTACCCATGTGTAAACAGCTGGGTTTCTTTCTTTTTTTTTTTCTTTTTTTTTTGGTCTGTTTTGTGTTGTTGTTTTGTTTTGTTATAGTAGAGGTTATACGGCGCTCGCAACTGTAAAGGTCATATGAGCGCCAGAAGATAAGAGGTGTTACAAGAGAGTAACAAACATAAACAATAAGGACGGTAGATTTTGTATAGGAAAGAAGCAAACAACACCAAAGCATCCGCCAACCACCCACTGTTGTTGGTTGTTGTTGTTTTTTTCTTTTGTTTTTGGATGTAAGAGCTTTACAGCACTTGCAGGGCAATAAAATAATACAAGTGGCGACGGTTAGAGGAGTTACCAGAGAGTAACAAACACAAAAAAGGAGAGATCACGACGCTAAATATTTCATAGGAAAGAGGAGCCAGCAAACAGCACCAAAGCACCCTCCAACCAACCACCCGCAACAGCTGGTTGGCAACCCCATGCATATCGTACTTTGGCACACAGCGTACCACCACTACAGCATCTCTCCGCCCTTTGTCGTCCCATCCCCGTCCCCTCGCACCATCTGACGGAGTGTGTGTACCCTTGATCCGAATAAATAAATAAATGCAATCATGTATGCTGATTGATTCTGCGCTGGAGGACGATCTATATCACAGACAATAGCCAGGCAAAGCGCACCTTCTCTCTCTTTTTGTCTCTTTCTCTCCCTCCCTATCTCCCTCCCTCTCTCTCTATTTCTCTCTCTAACTCTCTCTCTATATCTATCTATCTATCTCTCCCTTCCTCTCTCCCCTCTCTCTGTCTCTCTTCCCCTCTCCCCTACTCACTCTCCCTCTCTCTACACACACACAACACACACACAAAAATGAGTCAATTATAACGTCGGTTGGATATTAATTGATCGATATGGCGAGGGCCAGGAGCTAAAAATACCAATTTGTCTTGTTGTTTTTTTCGGGACAGAAGGAGGGGGGGGGGGGGTAATGTTGGTATTTTTACACCTCCATCGATACAATATAGATCATTTAGGAGGCCGGCGGCAAGCCTACGACGGCGATCGAAGCGCCTTACCGCTATAGATACCGATACGAATCATAACGTTAAAGAGACTACACCCCAGACACCAATATAAAACAGTACGTTTATGAGGTGGGGGGGGGGGGTTAGTTCAAGAGAAAGAGGTTGACACACAACACGTCCTACTATCATTTACATACCATGCAACTGAACAATAAACATGTGACCACGGAAGGAAGACAACGTCCATATAAAGTTGAAAACTTGGAACCACGTTCTTTTAAATGCTGGTCATAGGGGGCCCTTTGTCGGAGTGATACTCAACGGTACCCGAAAGACATGCTATATAATATTTAAGTAATAATTCTAATAGCGATTTTTATGATGTTCAAAGAAGCCTGTTTTGTTAAATCTGGTACACCACAGTCTAGTCGGCATTAAGTTAGCCCCGAACGACCGAAGAGATAACAAATTAATACATGTACAGTCAAACCTGCTCTAGCGGCCACCTGTATAAGACAATCACCAGTACAAACTGCCGCTTCCCATTTTTTTCCTTGTGTATTTTTTTTTTTTTTTTGGTAGGCCTACAGTCTAAAAACACTGTGTAAAAAGTTCACCTGTCTAACACGGCCACTTTTCTCCTCCACAATGGACAGCCGTTTTTTGGTAGCTTCGACAGCAGTTATTAATACATGTATAATAATATTATTCATTTGGAAAAACACGCCCCCACGGAACATCCAATTAGCACAATATAAGTATAATTAAAAGGTTATCTTCGCTGCACACTTTGAGGTTTTTGCTGGGTAAATACGACACAAGCAGTTACATAGCCTAATAACAGTTCCGTGTAACTTTTACAGCTTTGCAGGTCAGAGAGA